GGACTCAGGGACTCTTCCATCTCCACCAAACCTTTCTTCTCCTCTCTGTGGGTCCTTTGCCTTTGCTGAAGCTTGTTTCTTCCCTTGCCTTTAATTTTTTTCCTCACCACTCTGCTCTTTGCTTCCTGGGCCCCATGAGGTTGTGCTGGCACTGACAAAACCACCCGGAGCAGCCAAAACGGAGGAAGCCAGGACTGGGGCCTGGCTTTGCAGACATTCTGCTTACAGAGCATTCCACTCAGGGTAAGGAGACCTGGACGCATGTTCCACTCCTGTCACTAACGAGCAATGTCCCCCTGGGCCAGGCCCATTAGGAAGAGGTGTGATGATTTTCAAACCAATTGTTCTAGGTTCTAAAGCTTGAGAGGACCTAGCGAGACCTAGTACATTTGGGTCATTCATGTTTGGGAAAAAAAGAGCAAATTCCTGAATTGTGGTTCTATTTTATGAATATTTATCAGGAAAAATATACCTGCATTTCATAATGAAAATGTTTTACATCGTTTAGTGAGCGTCTGCTGGGTACCCCCCGCCTTAGCTTGTCTGGCTTAGGCTGCACATAAAGGAAGCCCGGCCTTGGGGCGCCTGCCCAGACTGTTGGGGGGCAGCGGAAGGCGCCGGCTCCTCATTCGAACGCTGCCATCTTGTGACATCACCACCAACCCTGGGAGAGGAGACGGGCTTGCCCACAGGCGAGTTTACGGCCCGGTCTGGACCCTGCGCACCTCGCATCCTTCCACCCGCCTTCCCCTGGGGTCATTCGACCCCAAGCAGAGAGCAGGCGGGCGGGCCGCAGGAGGAGAGGACAAAGCCGGGCGCCACCCATACCCGACGTCCGAGGGCTTGCGGAGATGAAGCAGTCGGCGTCCCGGGAAGATTCGTCTGGAAGCAGGCGCCGCCCTCTGAGAACAGGAGTTAGTTCCGCCTCCGGCCGCCGTATTTTGTTTCTTACTCTCAAGCAGATTTCCCGTAAGCAGTTTGAATTTCCTCGTTGGGCAGGTAGTGTGTGACGGTAACGTCATGGGTGATGCTCCCCTTGTTCCTCGGGACGTTCGTCCTGGGCGTGGTCGCCCTCCCGAGCCCCCGTCCGCCGGCTGGCCCTGCTCCGCCGCTGCGCCGCGGCCTTGCCCATGGCCTGGGGCTCCGGGTTCGGTCTGACCGCGCGGGGCGGGGAAGCCCCGGACTGGAGGGCGCCCAAGGCCCTTTCTCCGTGCTCTGGGCGATTGTTCCCTTTGGTACCCCCCCAAAAGCCCTGACTGTGGTGGCCGGTTGCATCCTCCAGCTTTTCTGCGTCCCCAGACCAGCTTCATTCCGTCTCCCAGATGTCCCAGCCCCATTCAGGCAGCGTCCCCTCCGTGGTCTGAATCCCAGCTGGGCAGGGCCCGCTCCTTTGAGCTCTGAGGTTCTGATCACTCCAGCCTCTTGTCTTCCTGTCCGCAGCCCAGAGGGGAGCAGCTGCTCCCTGCTGTTGTTGCATCTGGATTACCAAGGTGTTCCATTTTATCCTTGCTCCTGATTACAGAACAAAGTTCCTCTATTAAATTCTCTCTGTCAAACTCGCTAGTGTGGTTTCAGTTTTCCTGACTGGACCCTGACTGATACAGCCACATTACCACTCAAAGTACACGTCAAATGATCAGTCTTGCATTTTACTAGCTTTTTCAAGAGTATTCAAGTAAACCGAATTGCTAGCCACCCTGCAAAGTGCCAGTCAGTTCTGAAAACTGTTTCTAAGCAAAAATCCTTTGCTTTCGTTTTCACATATGAAGTTGGTTTAATAGAATAAAAGATATCAACAACTGGCTAAGAAGAATTAGTTGAAATGGTTACAGTCATAAAATTAAGGCCAATTGTTGAAGTAAATAGCTTCTGCATAATTTAGAAATATCAAATATAAATTTGTCTATTCCCTCCCCCCTTTTTGGTTTGAAAATAAAATCAATTTTAATTCAAGTAATCTCATATTAATCGCCTTTACAAACTAATGAGATCTTAAGATAAGCACAGAATCTTTACTCCAAAATTTAAATAGATAATGATGAATGCATTTTGGATGTTTATACGCTGCAAGTGCACACAGTGCCAGCATTTGATTTGGAGATCCCCCCCCACCCCCCGTCTGTGCCTGGATGTGCACCTTGTGTCATTCCATGCGCCTTTCCCTTAGTTCCTGTCTGCAGCTGCTGTGCCTTTTGTCTGCACATCCCACCCCCCACTTCCTGGGCTAGGTGCCCCCCTGTATTCCCACGATTATGCCACCCACACACCTGTTAGGGCTGCACTGTGATAATCTGTTAAGGAATGTCTATCCCATTAGACTACGAGCATCTTTAGGTCCAGGATCCGTTCGATCACCGTTGTAAATCCTGGCACATTGCCTGGCCCCCCAGATGCTCAGTGAAGGTTTGTTGAATGAAGTGCTGGAGGATGGGTCTTTGCCAGGTCCCTCACTCCCATGAGAAGAATAAGGCCCCTAGTTTCACGCTGATGAGCAAGTGGTGATGTGAGCACATCCACAATACTGATCTAATGGGTTCTAAGTCACTGCCACTGGTGCACAGCTGGAGCCTTCTGCTCCCTGAGTCCCATGTGCCACGACAGCCAGGCAGGAGGTTCACTCAGCGCGTGAGCACAAACACACTGGGGTCTTTCCATGGCCTCATGTTAGGACTTGAATGTACACGAATGCCAGTGAGTGGAGTTTGTGCAGCAAGAATGTGCTGGAAAGCCCTCTCTTTTCATCAAACTGAAAGGATCCAGAAGGTCGCTTTCTGTGCCTCCACCAGCTGTAGGACTCCCCTGTCTGCGACTCCCTGAGAGCCCACTGGGAGTCTGTCTGAAGGACAGAAACTGGGGAAAGGGGTGCTTTTCTCTTCGTTTCAGCTTAAATGACCTATTATGGAAAGTCCAGCCCTGCCCAGGCTCTGCTTTTGAGCCTAAGCCATTCGCCCTTTCTTTGAGTCCCTCAAGCAAGGCCTTTTATTGCCTGAAGTTTCATATGAGTAATAGAAACTGCTTTTGCAGACAGCTGCTTTGAGAGTTAGACATACTGTTTGAAGGTTGGTTGAGATTTAGACTGGTATGACTGATATTTTTACTAATGTTAGAATTTAATTGAAATACTTAGTTTATTGACACTAGTTAATCCAAGTTATTTTTTCTTAGTTAAGGAACATGCCAGAAGCTGTAATTTGATCATTTTTATATGAACCAAAATAGATTTTGGCTTTAGGATGGGAGGAGGGACAAAGATTTTACTCTGTTTCAAAATTGGCCTGACAGTTTAACTAGCAAAGTTAACAGAAATGAGAAGAAAGAAATTTCATAGGAAAAAAAAAAAAGCTATGAAAATCCTGAGATGTTTTCAGAGAAAAGTGCCTGGGGCTGCAGTTTGAAGCGATCTGCAGCTCCCCGTGTGGAACACTCTCGAGCACATCTCTCTGGGCCTGCACAACCGCCCAGAACTTGGAGTGGGTCGCAGTGGAGGTGTGAAATCCCAGTGGTGACCTGACCAGCTGAAGAAGGAGTGGCAGAGCCCTTCTTGCTGTGTCCCCACAGTGAGTCTGCTGAAGCTGGCAGGCCCTGATGACGTCCCCTTGCCCCCAGCACGTGCCACAGATGGGGCACGTGTTGGATGCTGGGGCCCCCAGCTTGCCAGCCTAGGGCTGCCTCCCCCTGTGTCGCCCCCTGGGAATTGCATCCAGAACCTGCCCTGAGCTGCAGGACCGGACCGGGCTCCTCGAACCAGTGAGCTTCCGTTCAGCCAGTATTTACTGACCATACACTGGGCCGGACACCAACTAGGGGCAGGAAGCAGCCAGTCCTCGGAAAAGAAGACATAATCCTTGCCCTCAAAGTAGTTCCTGCTTAGTTGGCCATATAGTATGTGCACACAATTTAGATTATATGGGAGTTAAACAATAGTCCAAGACTTGTCAGAGAAAAGATACCACTGGGTATTGCACGGTTAGCTGCCAGATAAATGTCATATATACAAATAAGATGACTTGAAAGGAGGGAGATGTCACGCTCCTACAAAGATTCATCACGTGTTGCCACCTTACAGAATTCTCTCATGTCCCTCAAGCCAATGAAATTGCCTCAGTACTGAACAATTCTTCGGTGCTGACTTGAGATCGTTTCAGGGCTAGATGATATCAGTCCATCATCAGCACCATAGCAGTCTCCATCAGCATCACCACACTGCACTTAATCATGGTCACCACCCTCACCTCCTCTATGAATCAAGATTTACCCTTGGTGCCCCTCTGCAGGCCTGTGCCAGGGGTGAGCAGATTCCATTGATATTGGGGGCATCCAACAAGGCCAAGGGTTTCCTGTTCCATCCATCAAGGCCCCCAGTTTCCTGCTCTTGCTTTCCTGTGCTGGCCTAGGCTTGGGAGACATCGTCCTAAGAACAGACTGGGATATATGATGCCTTGTTGCCTGGGTTCAGATCCTGGCTCATTCCCCAGTTCATCACATGTGGGTCCTGCACTTTAGCAGTGATAACATATAAAGATCACAATATGTTCTCCTTCCCTACTCACAGGGGATATGGCAGATATTAATTATAAATAAAACAAAGTTTGCGAAAGGCTTGGAAAACGCTTTATAAACACAAAGCATCATGATCCTTGTGGATTCTGGGACTTTCTGACTTTTTACACGAGACACAGAAAATGCTTTAATCCAATGCCTTCTTAGTCTAATGAAAACCACTTAAAAGTGTTCAACTTACCCAGCCAAAAAGGGCTCGACTTTCCAATGAACATGCCTGCATGAATGGCAGCAGGGGGCGGGACAGTGCTGAGTGCACGGTCCACACAGCTGGTGCCCCTCACTGTACTCAAAGGATGGAGTCTGCTCTGGCTCTCTGTCTGGTTAGTTTTATATGGGAAGTTTAGGAGGAGACAGGTAAACTTCATGTGAGAGCCAGGCCTGTCTTCCACCCCACAGGCAGTCTGGAAGAGTCGGCCTCCTGCCTGCTGTTTACGTACCTGGCAGGTAGCTCGGTGCCCATAGCCACGGGCTGAGGACAGTCTCTGGAGAGCCATGAGGATCTTGACTGTTCTCATTTCACTCTTCATCGCGTTAGGGGTAAGAAGTCTAGCAGCAAATGTTTCTGGAAGGCCAGATTTTTGGATTTTCTCCAAAGATGTTCAGAGGTGTTTATGCTGAATTGTCTGAAGAAAGTCCTTGGAAGCCCAGCATTGCGTAAATCTGGCATTATTTTGCTCTAATGTAGGTCCTGGCAGAGAATGTGCTGATGGGATCTGGCCTCAGTCTACCTTACTTCTCTAAACTCACAATTTTCTGAATCCACCTCACCTTATACATCCTGAGTTCCAGTCATTCTGGGGGCTTTGGCTCAGAACAGATGCCACTTCTCGTGCCTCTGGGTTTGCTCCTGACTCTTTCCTTGTCCCCCCCCGCCCCCTCAGTGCTGTGTGCAGGGAACTGCTTCTCTCAGTGCCTTGTCCTTGGGCTTCCAGGCAGGAAGGGTCTGACTGGAGACTGGTGAGCGGGAGGAGGGAGAAGCCAGGGTATTTCTGTCCACCCTTCTCCCTACCTGGGGATCTCTGACAGCATCTTCTTCATGGCCCCAGCTCCCCTCCTTTCACGGTCCCATGTCACTCCAGACAGCCTCACTCTGGTTGTAGTTCTAGTTGGCTCCAGATTCTAATTTCTGGCACTGTCACCTCCTGCTGCCTCCTCTGCTGTCCGTCTAGCCCAAGGCTGTTAGCTGCTTCCTGTTTTTGTTAATGTTTGATTGCTTCCCTTTTCCAGGGTGGCTTCCCAGAATTTCCATCACCTGTAACCAGTTCCCTACTTAACCATAATGTAAGCTTCAGGCAGGCTAGGGTTTTCATCTGCTGTCTTTGCTGCAGAATCTCTTGCATGTAGGAATCCAATACACAGTAGAGCTATAAAGTCTGCCTCTCTTGGTGTTTAGGGAGCTTTACCTAGGTTGCTAGGTAGCTCCAGGCCCATGTGCCTGGGGTCAGTTGCAGTTTCTGGCAGGCACCAAGCGTGTCGGTTTGTCCACTCAGCGAGTGCTGCATGCCTTCAGAAATCAGCGGAGGTGGAAAGCAGCCGTGCTTGCTGTTGTTCTGTGTCTCTGTCCTCAGGCTTTCTCCACACCTCCCCCAAGAACTGGGTCAGTGTTGAATCATGTGCTCTTTTCTTCCTCCTCGTGTCAGAGAGAGATGAGTGCAGAGAGGAGAATGTGGTAGATTACACTGAGCATCAGAACATGCAGGAGGGAGACCTTCACATCCCCGGTACCCATTAACCTTGTTCTGTATTTTAGGTGCATGGTGGGGCTGGGGGAGGCTCCATTAAGTGCTGTTCAGAGCTGGGCAGGTGGCAGTGAAGGAGGGGCTAGTGGGCATCGGGATAAGGAGAAGACCCCCAAGGAGAACTGGAGAGGTATTTCTTCTATTGAAGACACAACTTCTCCTCTCTCTCTCTCTCTCTCCCTCCCTCTCCATTTTAATCTCTCTGTAATTGAATTAATTCTTTAACTACTGCACACAATGTAGGAGTATTTCTTTTCTAGTTTTCTGAAAAGCCATCATTAAATCAATGATGCATCTTACACTTGATGTCATTTAGAATCAAGGAAATCTTCTCCCGTGTCAACTTCCAAGCAGAGAGCCCATGCCTTGGGAGGATGGCAGCAGTCTCAGTTGGCCTCCCTTTAACGTTGTCTTCTCCCATCAAGATGAACGCTGGGTATTGGGAGTCAACAGCTCATCTCATGAGGCTATGGAAAAATCTAGAAAGGTAGTCTTGCTGTGTTCACAGGGAGCAAGTCACACACCTCTGGAAGGTGCCATAAAGCCGCAAGGGCAGAATCCTCTAGGTTTGTCCCAGGACAAAGTGTTTTAGGGGTCAGTCTTAGCTGGGGTTCATAAGGTTGCTTGGATCTTGAGAATCTGGTGACAACTGTGCTTGTAATCACATGCATATGGCTTGTGTGAGTGCAGTTTCAAGGATGTCACCAATGTTAACCTTCCTTCTTTCCTAAGGATTCTGTAAAGATCCTGTTACTCACTTTAAAGTTATTAGATCTGGCTGCAGAAACGGAGGAATGTCTTCAGACAATGATGGGCAGTTGGCCCTCCTTTGCGTTCATGCAGGAAGCCTGATGGACGGGTTGACTCGGTATCAGAGGTGGGAGGGAGAGTGAAAAGTGGACCTGTCTAGGCATTTACAAAGCTGGGATAACTGGGTTCTTTCCAGGTTCTGTCATTAAATATTGTCATGACCTTAGACATCACATTCAACATATCTGAATTCCAGTATCGTTAATGATCCTCAAGGCCCTTTCTGTAATTGGGATTCAATAAGTATTTACTGCCCAACTATGATCACTGGGCACTCTCCTAGGTGCTTGGGATACATCTGGGAAAAAACAGACGAAATCCCTGCCCTCACGGATGTACCTTTTAGGAGAGAAAGAGAGAGAGCGAGCGAGGGAGAGGGAGAGAAGGGTGGGAAGGAAGGAGGGAGAGAGAGAGAAAATAAACAATATACATCATAAATAAGTAAACGGTGTAGTAATGTTAGATCAGAGTTCTAATATTATCTAAATTCTTCCTATAAGAGGCCAAATAGTAAATATTTTGTGGGTCTTACGATCGCTGTTTGTGCAACTCCACCTTGTAGCAAAAGCAGCCGCAGCTGACACGTGAACAGTGAGGGGCTGCTCTGGCCCCCAGCTGCCCTTGTGTTTGAAGGCAGAGGTGAGATGAGAGCAGCGCTTTGCGAACTGCTGTGCTGATGGACTAGTGCTGGTTCTTCTTTTCCCCAAAACCTTTATAGACTAGCGATTTTGTAAATGAAATAAAATAAATTACCAGAAAATCAGATCAAAAGGAGACATATGAAATACAAGCCCCACTGTTTTATCATTAGGTTCAACAGACAGGAAACTGTGCTGTCAAATGCTGCTCAGAGCAGCTCCTTGCACCTCCTCCCCTTCTCTCCCACCCTTGTCCTTCCTTCCCTTTCTCTCTCCCTCTTCCTTGTTTTTTCTCCCTTTCTCTTCACCTTCCCTTTGTTGTGTCAGAGCTCTCCGCTCTGCACCTGGCCAGGAAGAGGGTGCCGCCCGTGGATCTAGCTCGTAGCCAGCTCAGCTGAGACACTGGTTCTACAGGTGAGATTGCGCAGTGAACAAGTCCATGGAGGACGGGGAGAGTCCGCACTGGGGGAGGAGGGAGTTCACAAGAAATGGCTAACAAGAAGCCTTACGCTGTTGGATCGGAACAGGAGGCCTCGTTGTGAACTCATGCTCTTTAATAGATATAGATATATGGTGACTATATGTTATGTTTAATATGTATGTTAATAATATATGGATATCTAGAGATTCAAAAAGTATGTGCATACTTACGAATACATGTATTTCCCAGCTCTGTCTATGCTGGAAGGGCTTGGAAACAATGATACTCTGGTGACAACAAGCACGTGCAGTGTCCAGAGCATGGCTTCTGAATGCTACACTCCACTTAAAGTAACCAAGGCTCTTTGGAGAAGTGGTTGACTCTGGGTTTGGGCAGAGAAAATAGAAGATGAACCTGGAGTATTTATTTTGTGCCAGAAAGTACAGAAGTGATCAACAAATAACGTGGACATGTTAAACCAACATAGGAACCAGTTCAGAGGGACTCACACTGGCCAAAAGGGACATTTGAGCATCAAAATAAATAATGATAGTTTGCAACCCTTTGAGCAAAGTAGGAAGTCATGAGTTTATACCAATATAAATGAATAAATGCTAGAGAAAGGAAATGTCTACCTTCTTATGGAAGTAGCTTTTTTTTTTTTTTTTTTAAAGATTTTAGTATTTCCTTTTTCTCCCCAACACCCCCCGGTACATAGTTGTATATTCTTCGTTGTGGATTCTTCTAGTTGTGGCATGTGGGACGCTGCCTCAGCGTGGTTTGATGAGCAGTGCCATGTCCGCGCCCAGGATTCGAACCAACGAAACACTGGGCCGTCTGCAGCGGAGCGCGCGAACTTAACCACTCAGCCACAGGGCCAGCCCCTGGAAGTAGCTTTTTTTAAAGTCTCTCCCTATAAAACAACCACTAATCACTTAGCAGCTAATGAGTATAAGATACTTATTAACTAACTTTACAGTGGGGAAATCTGGCAGATGCCATCTTAACTAATGATAAAATGAACATCACTGGTAATGGGACAAATCAAGGTTGGGTGCCCCAGACATGGTACATGGAAAGCAACACGGTGCCACTTCTAAGAGATTCTTGCTCCAAATGCACAAACAACAAGAAAACATCAGACACACCTAAATCAAGGAAAATCTGTATCAAGTACAGATCTGTACTTTTCAGGAATGTCAGGATTGTGAAAGACAAAGAAAGGCTGAGAAGCTGTTCCAGATTGAAGGGGACTAGAAAGGTGGGACCACGTGCCGTGTATGCTCCTGGAGTGGGTCCTGACTTGTAAGGACATTATGGGTACCATCAGGGAACTGTGACGGGATTGGAGATTTGATGGCACTGTTAGATCAACATGAATTTCTTGATTTTGGTGGTTATGCCATGGTCATGGAGAAGAGCGTCCTGGTTTGTAGAAAGCACGCCATAGAGTGATATGAAGTCCTTGAGTGTCACGTCTGACACTTATCATCCGGTGGTCCAGGATCACACCCCTACACATGCATACACGCAGACACACACAGATGCAGTGTGTTAAGGCAGTGTGATAAAATGTAATAGTTAGGGAAACTGGGTAAAGAGTATATGGAAAAAGTTAAAAATTTGCTGGAAAAGTTCCTAAACGTTTTCTCTGAGTTTCTGCTCTCATCTTACTAGAGTGAGCAGCTGTGGTTTGTGGAGAGGAATTTTGAACAACACTGATCCAGCAACACAATCAGTGAATTGAACGTGCCTGTTTCTGACATTTTGGCTCATATCTAGCACAGAGTGCCGTGTGCTAGCGGTGCCTGTGTCCTAACGTATCGGTGTTGGGGACCGAAAGGAAAGAAAGCACAGCCGCTCTCTAATTTAAACACTGCAGCTGGAGGAACTCCCCTTAAATACTGTCATCAGGACAAACGAGCACTCAGGTCATCTCCACGTGAGGAGTCACTTTATCTAGCTCTTAACGCGTTCGGAATCACCCATAAATGCCAACAGGAGAAGTTTCCTGCAGGGAGGAGGAGCCCGGCATCAGGGCTCCTGACGTGGAAATCTGACCAACAAGTGCCCCTGCTGGTGGGACCCAAGCGAATCAGGTACCTTCTCACCGAAGGCAAAGGCAATTTGGCAAAGAAGTAACCTATTGTGTGAGTGGCCTGGGCGTCCCTTTTGTTTCATTACCTGAAATCAATTTAAACTACTTTATGGTGTTAAAGGCGTGATCCTTCTTATTACATTCTTTGGAAGGTAGCTTTGCTTTACGCAGGGACACCTGTCCGCACGAAAGCCCATAAATGCGTTTTAACAGGTCTTCAAGCAACGCTGGGCACACAGATGGCCAAAGAGCCCCTGGCGGAAGGGGACAGCTGCTTGGCTGACAGAATTGGAACCAGTGCAGGACATGTGCAGCGACTGTAAACAGGAATGAATTTTCCTTAACCTTTATGAGTCAAATATTTAGTTTTGGAATATTAACAAAATCAAAAGAATTACAATGTTCTTTTAATTTTAAATCAAAACACACTGACGTGCAGCTTTTAAGACATTTTATTTAATGGGTAATCTTAAATTGAAACAGAAATAAATTCAGAAATACTGGGATTTCTTGCCCAGTATATACAGCATTGAAGTAACGTTTTTTTTTCATCTTAAATGCTCTATAAAAGAGGGAATGAAATCCCTCTTTCCATAAACTGTCCATCAGATATTGATGATCACATTAAAACCTCCCAAGTATGCTATGGATAGAAAGCTCTCAGTGTGTGGCATGTGTGTGGCGATGTGCAAGGTCACTTGCTCACCCATCCTCCCCTCCTTCCCCTTCCCCTCGCAGAAGAACCCCGACTTGGGTAAGGGATGTAGGAGTTGCTGTTTGAAAGAGGCTAGGAACAGACACATAGAAAAAGAACTCTTACTCTGGGGTGGAGATGAGGCAAACGGCAAAACTTCCTTTCCGAAACCCTGTAAAGAAGCATTTCTCTATATGGTTTGCAA